TCAAAAGAGACTGCATTAAGACACTAATCTTGTCAACCTCATCAGTATAAACTCATCACAGTGATAGAATTTACAACACATGAGGAGATTACATATAATCTCATCATAGTGGTAGAGTTTACAACACATAAGGAAATCAGATCAGATAACACAGTCATACAATACTGGGAATCATGACCTAGCCAAGTTGCTACACACATTTTTTGGGGGACACAAATCAATCCATGACAGACCCTTTAATCATTATATAGTGTCCTTCCTTATCTTTTGTGGTGGATTTTACTTTAAAGTCCATTTTGTCAGAGATTAATATTGTCACTCCTGCTGTTTTTTGAGTGTTGTTTGCTTGATATATTTTTTTACATCCTTTGAGTTTTAGTTTTTTGTGTCTTTAAGTCTAAGGTGTGTCTCTTGTAGGCAGCATATAGACGGATTGTGTTTTTTTATCCAATCTGCCAATCTCTGTCTCTTTATTGGTGCATTTAGTCCATTTACATTCAGCGTAATTATTGATAAGTATAGTTTAGTGCTGTCATTTTGCTGTCTGTTTTTGTGTGTTGTTGAGTTTCTTTCTTTCACTTAATTTTTTGTGGTGAGTCGTTTTTCTTTATGTATTTTCTTTTCATCTTTTTCATTGTTGTTGATTTTGTGTTTGCTGAGTCTTTATGTTTTTCTTGTTTTTTATTTTGATGTGTAGGATTGTTAGTTTCCTTTGTGGTTCCCTTAATATTTACCCCTATTTTTCTAAGTTTCAACAAATCTTTTATTTCTTTATATCACCTTGACTTCCTCTCCATCTGAAAGATCTATGACTATATTTTTTAGTCTCTCTTTTTTGTTTTAATGTTGTCATCTTTTACATATTGATGTCTCTGTTTCCCTGTTTTCAGTGTTGTAGTTTTGTGACTTCCTTCTCTGGGTTTTTACCTGGTTGCTGCGTCTTGTGTTCTAGTCTTGGGTTGTTATGTGATCTTATTGATTTTCTAACTGGAGGACTCCCTTTAGTATTTCTTGTAATTTTGGTTTGGTTTTTACAAGTCTCTTAACTTCCGTTTATCTGGTAATGCCCTAATTTTGCCATCATATTTGAGGGACAGTTTTACTGGATGTATAATTCTTTGCTGGCAATTTTTTTCCTTGAAGGCTTTATATATGTCATCACATTGCCTTCTTGTCTACATGGTTTCTACTGAGTAGTCTGAGCTTATTCTTATTGACTCTACTTTGTAGATGACTTTTCTTTTATCCCTAGCCGCTCTTAAAATTCTTGCTTTATCTTTGGTTTTGGTAAGTTTCATTATAATATGTCTTGGTGACTTTCTTTTTTTGATCTACCTTTTGTGGGGTTTGATGAGCGTTATGATATCAGGAAAGTTTTCTGCCAACAAATCTTCAACAATTCTCTCTGTATTTTCTGTTATCCCCCTCTGTTCTGGTACTCCAATCACTTGTAGGTTATTCCTCTTTATAGAGTCCCACATAGTTCTTAGAGTTTCTTCATGTTTTTAAATACTTTTCCCAGATTTTTCCTCAAATAAGTTAGTGTCAAGTGCTTTATCTTCAGTCTCACTAATTCTGACTTCCACTGCCTCAGTTTTGCTCGTGTGACTTTCTATTGAGTTGTCTAATGCTGAAATTTTATTGTTAATCTTCTGGATTTCTGATTGCTGTTTCTCTGTGGATTCTTGCAGCCTGTTAAATTTGTCCTTATGCTCTTCTCTAATCTTTTTAATTTCCTCTATTGCGTGTTCCGCATTTTGCTTATTTTCCTTCCTACTTTATTGAGGAGTTCTGTGTATTCTTTTGTATTCTGCCTCTGGTAATTCCAAGAAGTTCTCTTCCTCCAGAAAATTTCTTGATTCTTTGTTTTGGGAGCTTGATGAAGCCATCATGGTCTGCATCTTTATGTGATTTGATATTGACTGTTGTCTCTGAGCCATCAAGAAGTTATTATTTATGTTTCCTTACTGTGTCCTAGCTGCTTGTTTTGTTTTGATATGCGCAAATAGGCTACTCGCATGAGCTAGTTTGATTATTGGCGCCTTTGAAGCTCTATTGTCCTGCCTCCAGGTGGTTAGATCTGTTACTAGGTATGTGAGCCCAGGAGTCCATCTACTTTTCTTGTATGGTTTCAGCTCAGGTGTCTAGGTAGTTGGTCACCAAGTGTGTGGTGCAGGCTGTCACCTACAGTCCTAGACAGGCAGGGGTGATTCAAGTAGACACAGGTATCTGGTTGCAGTGAGGGGTCACGTGCTGAGCAAGGCAGGGGGCTGATGGTTGCCCCTGAGTGTCTGGGAAGAAAGCGTGTCCCTGGTCCCTAGAGTGCATAGGTGGATGGGTTTTGATGCTGGACTATGGGCACGCAGTGCTGTTGGCTGGGAGGCACTGCTTATTCTTGGACCCCGGTCGTACATGTCTACGTGGTGTGGGTGGAGCCACCAGTCCTCAGGCCCCTGATGTAGGTAGGTGAGGACCCTGCTTAATGGGCAGAGCGGTATCAAATGTCACGAACCTGCCACTCCACCATATAGCTGATACAGTGAATTTAGACTTCAGGTATATACCCTGTTGTACTGTGCTAATGAGCACCTACGCTGTTGAAATGGGCCCACAAAGGTCTGTGCAAGGGTGAAAGGCATTCAAAGTCCGTGGACCCCTTATGCCTGTGCCTAGGCAAAGGAGTTGTGCCTGCCTTGAGTTCCCAGCTTAGGGGAACCGGCGCATTATTTTTTCCCTGTTTGTTAATTTGTTCCCTCTCCAAGACCGGGCGAATGGCTGAGGGTGACGGGTCCTACTGGGAGAATGGCTCAGGACGCGTGACAACCCCTACCTCTATCTCAGGGGACGCAGCAATCACTGAAGCTGGCCTGGGACTGGTGCAGAGCGGGGAGGGAGCAGGTAAATGAGAGTTTCTTCCCAAACGGGGTGGTTTTTGATCCATGCGGTAGGTTAAATGTGTATACTTATCTTTTGCTGATTGAGCACCGCTTTTCACTGACTCTGGAGGCCTGAGCAGACCCTCTGCCACTTGCTCTCTCCTGACGTGGAAAATGTGTTCCGAACGCCACTGCCTGCTTCACCATGCACACTAGCCGATCCAGCTCACAGGGCGCCAGCTCCCGCTAGGTCAGGTCTGGCAACTCCTCGTTGCTTCTGAGCTGTCTCTCCTTCCCCCTACCGCTCAGTCCAATTCCTTAACTTTGCCTTTGATGTTCAAGGCTCCTAGATTGTCATGTATAATCGATTCGCTTGTTTTTTTGGGTCTTTGTTGTAAGAGGGACCACCAGAAGCATCTGACTGCTCCGCCATCTTGGCCCTGCCTCAGCCTTCCAGATTTTATTCTACCAGATGTTTTATAAAAATGAGATCATGAGGAACATGTAATGTTGCAATCAGTTTATGTTACACATTATAAAACCAAAAAACAAACCAGCTGCCATCAAATTGATTCTGATCAACTTGTGTGTGTCACAGTAGAACTGTGCTCTACAGGGTTTTTAATGGCTGAGTTTTTGGAAGTAGATCTCCAGGCCTTTCTTTCAAGCCACCTCTGGGTGGATTCTAACCGCCAACCTTTCATTAACAGCTGAACACTTAAACTGTGCCACCCAGGAATGCCAAGACATTGTAAACATCTTTATATCAATAAAAAGATATCTACATTATCATTTTTAATGGCTATATAATGTTCTATTATATGCATATATAATTTACTTAACTAAATCCTATTATTGAATGTTTACATTATTTCTAATGTTTTTTGATTATCTAAAATACTGATGAGATGAATATCATTGTACCCATATCTTTGTGTACTTTTCTGTTTACTTAAGATGTTAGAAAATAAATTGGTGAGTTGATGTGTAATTACATTTATTTTTGTGTATATTTCCAAATTTCCCTGTCTTAATTATCTAGTGCTTCTATAACAGCAATACTACAAGTGGATGGCTGTAACAAACTGAAATTTATTTTCTCACTGTTTAGGAGGCTAGAAGCCCAAATTCAGGGTACCGGCTCGAGGGGAAGGCTTTCTCTCTCTGTTGGCTCTGGGGTAAAGTCCTTGTCTCTTCAGCTTCTATTCTTTGGCTCTGTGGTGATCTTCATGTGGTATGGCATCTATCTTTTCCATCTCTGCTTTTCTTGCTTGCTTGTTTATCTCTTTTATATCTCAGAAGAGATTGATTTAAGACACTAATCCTGTCTTAGTAACATAACAAAGAAAACCCATTCCCAAATGGAATTATAAATACAGGCATAGAGGTTAGAATTTACAACATGTAAATTTTTTGGGGACACAATTCAACCCATAACACCCTCCAGAAAGGTTGAACCAGTTTACACTCTTGCAAGTAGCTTAAGTTTTTTCCTCTGGGTATCAACCTCTTCCCTCCATATCCTTTTTTGAAAGACTTGGCTTTCTTCCTTTACAGTGGAGGGTGGGGAACCATTTCCCACCTCTTCTGCAAAACTGAAATCTCTAGCTGCTACCTCTGCCACTACAGAAGTCCTTGGATTTCTCTTGAGAGACTGATTCTAACTATGCCTGCTTCCAGATGGGTAGCCTGAATATGGTCTTCCTTGGTGTCTTGGCAATACCTGCTGTTTTGGTTCTGCAAAAAAGGTCACTCCCTATTTCATTCTCTTATGTGGGATTGGGCTGAATTTCATTTCAAATATATTGACTTTGGAGGCTGGGGATACACTGGAGTCCTGGGTGACTAAAGGGGGTATGCAAACAAGAAACTGTGTGACTGGAGTGACAGTGAGCAGGGTATTCAATCACAGTTTCTGTGCAGGTGGCTGCCTTACTTTGGGGGAAGTTCCAGGGTCTGATTGAGAAGTTTTACATCATCGATTGCCGCTATCCATATGAGTACCTGGGAGGACATATCCAGGTGAGTTTACATTGTGAACTATAGCATGGGAGGGACTGGAGATAGCTCTTTACTGAGAAGAGTCTGGACAAAGGATCCTGTGAACTCTAGAACTAGAACAGAGATTATACATTTGGGGCACATCAGGGCTCTCAGTCCTCATTCGTGTTTTAATTGTGGACACCTTGAGCAACTTACTTTTCCTTTCCCTCTTAGACCAGTCACCCTCTTTCCTATAGAAGTGGTACCAAGGGCTCCTACCTAGAAATAAAAACATGTTAATCCAAGGACTGTGAAGCACACTTTAAACACTCACTGTTCATGGGCATTTCTCACAATGATTCCTACACTTTAGGCAGTTCATTTCTCTGAACATGTATTGAGTACCTACTATTTGCCAAGCTCTATGCAAGACCCTGGGGGTAGATACAAAGATAAAATTAGGTCTCTGCCCTGAACGCACTTATAATCTAACCTCCCTGGCCCAAATATCCCAGGACGGTAGCCCAGTCATTTCTAACTGTTGGCAATGTCCACAAACCTTTGAGGAATCACTTATTAAAACTTTTCTTCTAACAGGGAGCCTTAAACTTATATAGTCAGGAAGAATTGCATAACTTCTTTCTGAAGAAGCCCATTGTCCCTTCGGACATCCAGAAAAGAATTATCATCGTGTTCCACTGTGAATTCTCCTCAGAGAGGGGCCCCCGAATGTGAGTTGTCTACACAGGTTAGGTTGGGTTATAGAAATGGATCTTAACTTGGTACTTACCACCAGGGAACCTTCCCAGACGAGTTTAGACAGATACTGAATGAGTGAGAGAGGTCATGCTCTCCACTGGAGTCTGGAGAATGTTGGGAAGATGGAAGGAAGGAGTTTCTACATTTCAAAAGTTTGGAACGGTAAAGGAATGAGGCCCCAATGGAGGAAGGAAGGGAAGGGTGGTGTTACTTGGCCCTTGTTTGCAAAAATGGTGAGATCTGAAGGTCCTTTTTTGGGTTAACAATAGTTTATTCTTCCTCCCTTTCCCAAATGAGTAGCCCAAGGAACCCTGACATTATTCTTTTTAGTCCATCCATCTTCCGGTTTTCTCTAAAGGTGCCGCTTTTTGAGAGAAGAGGACAGGGCTTTGAACCAATATCCTGTGCTATACTACCCAGAACTGTACATCCTCAGAGGGGGCTACAGAGACTTCTTTCCAGAATATACGGTAAAATGTGGGGCAAGGAGGGAGCCCAGACTTGGCAAGAACCAATTTAACATACAGTTCCCAAGCCTCTGGGAAGAAACTGCTGATCCTTGTTAGCCATCACCAGTAGTGTCTTTATTATACTTAGAAGGCAGAGTTCAGGAGTCTAGAGAATCTCTTACTCTGTCCCTTACCTTCCAGGAGCTGTGTGAACCACAAAGCTACCGCCCTATGCACCACCAAGACCATAAGGCTGAGCTGCTGAGGTGTCGAAGCCAGAGCAAAGCATGGGAAGGGGAACGGCAGCTGCGGGAGCAGATTGCCCTCCTGGTGAATGACATGAACTCATGATAAGGGGTCAGCCTCTGACTGCTAAGGACTCACCAAAAGACACTGTAGACATCCTTAGCAGAAAGAAGCCATCTTCTCTGTGGGTGGATCCAGGATTGTTAAAAGATGTCTGAAAACCAACAAGCTGCCAAGCTCATGAAATCCTGGGCCTGGGGATTGGCTGGGTTTCAGTAGAGCTCCTGGCTGATGGATGAGTCCTGGGACTGGCTCTATAAGGCTGTAACCTTGTATTACACAGAGATTTATTTTGCTTCTGGGAGCTCTTGCATTCCTCTTTCCAACTCTTCCCATAAGCCAGCCAGCTCTTCTCTCCTGCGCTTCTGGTTATGTAAGAGAGTTGCCCATCTTCTCTATGTATTTTCCTTCTTTGTTTTTCTCTCTCTTCCCTTTTCTTAAATGGGAGAATAAACATATCAGAATGAGAGATGTGATTGTGACCCCAGATTGTGCTCCTAGAATATCTGTACAAGGAACAGTAATCACCAAATTAGATTCCTTCAAACAAGGGTGTAACCATCTTTACTCATAGTTGAGGCCAAGGTGCTTTTCTCTAGACCTTGTTTTTCAAAGTATGGACCCTGGACTATCAGCATCATCTGAACTTGTTTGACATGCAAATTCTCAGGCCCCACACCAGATTTACTAAATCAGAAACTCTGAGGTTAGGACCCAGAATCCTGCATTTAACAAGCAAACAAAAAAACTCCCTTTCAGATAATTCTAATGCATGCTAAATCTTGAGAACCACTGCCCTGGAATTTAAACTTTTTAAACTGCATTCTTCAGCAATAGCCCAGGCTTTCCGTTTCTAGACATTCCATACATAACATGAGTTACCTACAGGTGTGCCCCAGACTCAGCACCACGTGTATCTAGGCTTAGAAAATGAAAATGATTAGCATTCTCTGAGGCAGATCATAAAGTCCCAGGGTGTGGTGCAAATGGTTAATTCACTTGGCTAGTAACTGAAAGGCTGGCAGTTTGAGTCCATCCAGAGGCACCTCGGAAGAAAGGCCTGGCTGTCTACTGAAAAATCAGCCATTGAAAACCCTGTGGAGCACAGTTCTACTCTGACACACATAGGGTCATCATGAGTCAGAATCAACTTGACAGCAACTGGTTTACCAATAGGCCAGGACTAGAAAAGGACCAAGCACTCATGGGCTTAGACAGATAGAATAGAGGCAAAAATGACTTCTTCCCCAGGTTTTGGAACAGCATGACTTTTTTTTAAAGTGAGTGGGAGGAAAGGAGGGTTGTAGCCATAGGGCAGCCTACAAGTATGACTGGGTGGCTGGACTACATTCATACACTGCATAATGTCCATTCAGGCAACAACCGACTGCATATATGTCCGTGGTCCCATAAGGTTATAACAGAGTTCAGAAATCCCAATTGGAGAACAGGATGTAGCAGACATAACCTGTTGTAGCAAATGTAACAGCTTCCCACACGCCACAGGTGTATCTCATGTCTCTTGTATACAAAACAATTGCACTGCCAGGCATATAATGGTACAGTACATATATAACCTATAATACGCATGTCTTGCTAGTCATAATAAACACCTATGTTATTGGCTTATGTATGTACTGTACTGTAATTTCTTTTGTCCCTGGGTTATGAACATCTGACTTAAATACAACCCTTAGTTACAAACCAACCCCCATAAATCCTATTATATTAAAAATTGAAGGTACATGCAATGGTTCATAATAACAAACGGGCACTACTTTGCGACACGCATCAAAACATTATTATTGCTGTATTATTATGTTAAAATGTTTTAGTGTATCTGGAAATGTTTCTTTATGCATAGAAAGGTATACTATATACTAAGACAAATATTTAACTGATGTTAGATATAAACGGTACCTAACTGTTCCGATTTATGTACAAATTCAGACATAGGAATGGAACTTGTTTGTAATCTGGGGACTGCCTGTATATAATACGGTGTTCGCACAATGTCCAAATCACATAACATCTGTTTCACAGAATGTATGGTGGACATTAAGAGACACATGACTGTACTGATTTTGCAGGGTTCGAAGGTGCTCTTCCTTGGAGTGCTGCATGCATGCCTCACAGCAGAGGGCACTCTAAGCCAGCTGCCTGGAGCCTGCAGCCTTCACTTCTAGCTACTACCTGTTTGTCCAGAGGAACCACTCTGGCCTTCTCGCTAAGCCCTTGAGCGCAGAAGGCCTGGGGAAGAAGAAAAACTGCTGCTACATTAAGTAGAAATGGCCGAGGGAAAGATGCTGACCTTCCTGATGCTCCTCCATCCCACTCTCCCTACTCCCCACAGCAAATGCTTATCCCCACTAACCAGGAACTCTTAGTGGTCTAAGGAGGAAACTGCTGGAAGCACCTCTTTCAAGTGTTAGGAAGGTCCCCAACTCTGTCTACCTTTGTGGGCCATTTCCTGATAATTCTCTCCAGAAAGTAGAACCAAGCTCCCACCTGGGAAGAGGTGAATCGCACACGTGTTCACATTTCAGTAACTTTAAGGGGAAATTCTGAGTTGCAAAACAAACTAGGGCTTAATTTGTTATCTATAAGGTCCCTGAGTGGCACAAATGTTTTGTGCTTGATTACTGAAGGTTGGTGGTTTGAATCCACCCAGTGACACTGAAGAGAAAGGCCTAGCTATCTGTTTCCATAAAGATTACAGCCAAGAAAACCCTATGAAGAAGTTCTACTCTGTAAACACATAGAAGTTGACATGAGTCAGAATCAACTCTACTGCAACAGTGTGTAAGGCTGGGTTCTCTAGAGAAGCAAAACCAGTAAAGCATATAAGTATATATATAGAGCGAGATTTATGTCAAGGAAACAGCTCATGCAATTGTAGAGGCTAAGAATTCCCAAGTCCGTGGAACAGGGTAGAGGCCTCTCCCAATTCACGGAGCCGCAGAAGCTGGTGAACCCAAGGTTGGCAGGTCGGAGAGGGGCTCCTGCTCACAGGCTGTGAAGGTCAACGAATTCCAAGATCAGCAGACAAGACTGCAAGGTTTCTTCTGATTCACGTAGCTGCAGGGGCTGGTGAACCCAAGATCAGCAGGTCAGGGAAACAGACTCTTGCTCGCAGGCCGTTAAGATCGACGAATTCCAAGATCAACAGGTAAGCTGCTAGCTCAATTCCCAAGAACTGGAGGTGAGACAACAAGAGGCAGCTGCTGAGTCTGGAACAAGCCAAAAACCTTGGCAAGGCGAGCAGGTGGAAAGTAACCAGCAGGAGGCAGAGAGATGAACTGAGGGGGCAGTGAGCTGCCACAGGCCCTGCCGCTGCCAGTATGACTCAACAGATTCCATCATGGGGGTGATCACATATCAGATTTCAACAGGGAAGTGATCACAACTTTATCCAACTGCTAAAACACTGAGAATAGTGGCCTAGCCAAGTTGGCACACAATCTTAACCATCACAAATGGGTTTTTAATTAGTTGTCCAATTTGTGGATTAGTATCTATTTTTAATTAGTTATGTACTTTGTGTGATGATCAAAGACTACAGCCTTCAATATGGATTACACCTCAACATAAAGAAAACAAAAATCCTCACAACTAGACCAATAAGCAACATCATGATAAATGGAGAAAATATTGAAGTTGTCAAGGATTTTTTTCTACCTGAATCCACAATCAACACCCATGGAACCAAGAAATCATCCAAACCAAAAAAACAAACCAAACTCGTTGCTGTCAAGTTGATTCTGACTCATAGCGACCCTATAGGGCAGAGTAGAACTGTTCCATAGGGTTTCCAAGGAGTGGCTAGTGGATTTGAACTGCCGACCTTTCGGTTAGCAGCTGTAGCTCTTAACCACGGTCTGTCACCAGGGCTCCAGAAATCGCCCAGCAATCAAATCAAACGACGTATCGCATTGGGCAAATGTGCCACAAAACACGTCTAAGGTGTTCAAAAGCAAAGATGTCACCTTGAGGACTAAGGTGCACCTGACCCAAGCCATGGTATTTTCAATCGGTTCATATGCATGCGAAAGCTGGACAATGAATAAGGAAGACCAAAGAATTGATGCATTTGAATTAATGGTGTTGGCAAAGAATATTGAATATACCATGGACTGCCAGAAGAGCAAACAAATACGTCTTGGAAGAAGTACAGCCAGAATCCTCCTTAGAAGCAAGGACGGCAAGACTTTGTCTCATGTGCTCTGGACATGTAATCAGGAGGGACCAGCCCCTAGAGAAGGACATCATGCCTGACAAAGTAGAGCGTCAGCAAAAAAGAGGAAGTCCCTCAATGAGATGGATTGACACAGTGGCTGCAACAATGGACTCAAACATAGCAATGATTGTGAGGATGGCGCAGCACCCGGCAGTGTTTTGTTCTTTTGTATATAGGTTCACTATGAGTCGGAACCGACTCAATGGCACCTAACAACAACATCTACTTTGTGAAGAATTGGATTTGCCTAAAAGGCAAGGTTTTCTCATATGAATTCTTGTATTATTTTTAATTTGTATTATTTTCAGGAATAATAATAGCTAACACTTTTGAGTGCTTATTGCATGCTAGACTTTTTCTAAGCCCTTTATATATATACAAATTTTCACAACAATCTTGATGCAAGTACTAATTATTATGCACATTTTGCAGATGAAGAAATTGAATAACAGAGGGATTAAGTAACTTGTTTAAGGTCACAGAGCTAATAAATGGTAGAGTTGGGATTTGAACCCAGGCAAAATGACTTCAGAGTCTGTATCCTTAATGAATTTTGCTGTTACCAAGTCCTTAATCAAAGAACAGTGTGACTCTCTAGAGTTGTCAGTGTACTGGGTGTTAAATATGCAAGAGCCTCAATTGTAGGTTCTTACGAAGTCAGAGCCATAAGGGCTTGGGCTTGAGAGATGAGGCTAAGGACAGAGATACTAAGATCCCAGCCCAGAGACCTCAGCATAAGGTGATATAGTGGGTAAGCTCTGCACTGGGCCCCTTGCACTGGCTAGTATTGGTTCATCATGAATCAAGTAACAAAGAATGGAAACTTTTGGTCTAAAAACTGCTTCTGGTTGTCAATTTCAGACCAGGACCTGGCTAGCCTCTGTCATAGAGAGTGGGAAGTATGGAGGATTCTCTTTCCCCATTCAATTTAGACAAATGTTAAGGAAACACCAAATCCTTTAAACATATACATCCCGGGTGTCAGTTCTAAGTGCCACAGGATTCAAATGTGAATCCCTGCCCTCAAGAAACTGACAAGGTGGAAAATGGTTCTCTTTGTTCCCATCTCAACAAGCACTCTGGTCCATAGTATATTCAGCAAAAGAAAGTACTGCACCCTCTAGCTCCAAAGCAGCAGGTCAGTGGTGGGGACTGGCCAAGTTCACAGAATAATTAATGCCAGCATGCCACTGAGGGTAATAGTATTTATACAGTACTTGCTATGTGCCAGACACTATGCTAAACCCTTTACCCAATATATGTTTCTTTAATCCTCACAATTGTTTCATGAAGTAGATGTTATTACCCTTAATTTTACAGATGAAGAAACTGAAGCATGGGAAAATTCAGTGACTTGCCCAAGGTCATCCAGCAAGTATTGGAAATGGCATTTGAACCTAGGCAGTCTGTAAAGTTTATGCTCTTAACCATTCACTATACTGCTAAAACCTCCCAGGGTAGAATAGCAACAGAAATTAAAGCACAACAGTGGGAGCGGGCTTGATAGAAGGCAGAATCCCTACAGTCTGACCATAAGAGGAGAAAACCAAGATTACAAATGAAAGTACAGAGTCTTTGGACCTTTAGTCCCAATCAGTGGATTGTAAGGTTTGTGTCTTAATCATTTTTGCACCTGGCACAAAGCTGGACCCATAATCAGTCTCAAAAGACATTATTGAATTGAATAGTAGCTGAGTATCATAATCTTTGTAGAAAGGACTGACTCATTTGTCATTATCCACAAGGTTCCCAACAGCAGTGGCTGCTTATCTAGCAGGTGTTGGCAGTCATAGAGGACATGGTGTGCTGGAGGGGCTGTCAATATTAGTCTTGGAGTCATATTTATTTGTGGAGGCTTCCTCTCCCCTCCCCTAGCCTTGGTTACCAATCCTCATTAAAGGCCCAGTGATGTCAGGCCCTCTACCCAGTGCTCAGACAGGAATATGCTCCAGGTATCCCATTTCCTCTCGCAAAAAGGCAGGCCTCTTATAAGTGGGATTGGGCATTGCTCCCAGCCTATCAGCTTGACCCTGTGCTTGCCTCCCAGGTCCATTTGATGAGGATAGTATTGAGTAGACACTTTAAGGGCACCTTGAGTAAATGCCCTTTCCCATCCCATCCTCCTACACCAAAGACTTGAATTGGCTTGGTTTCTGGCAGAGGGGGAGGGCAGAGGTGACAAACCCTTGACCATCCCACATCTTAGTTGGCTCGTGTGTCTCAGCTCTTTCCTAGCATTCCAATCACCTGAAATTGTTATTTTTTTACTTTGTAAATTCTTTTTTGAAACTATTCCCCAAGTGGAGAGGAAAGTGGGGGCTGTCAGCTCCCCAATTACAGGTTTCCTAGCCTTACTGGAGGGAGGGCTTGGGAAAGGTAAATAGAGTTAAGGAGGAGCTGGGGAAAAACAGGCCCTGTACAAAGGCTGAGTAGCCAGATGTTCACTTTCACAGCTCTCCTGTAAAGCTGGCAAGGGAGATATAGATTAAAACGAAGCACAAACTCCATTTAAAGTGCATTACAGCTCAAGAACCAGCTCCCCCTGGGCAGAAGGAGGGAGGGAAGGGCACAGAGGCCACATCAGTCTCCTTCCTTATCTGGGGCTACATGTCTCTCTCCTAGCTTTGTGAAGGGTGATTTACACCCCCGGCTGGAATGACTCTCTTTCTGGGCTGATCATATCAGCAAATGCCACCCCCCACCCCACAAGAGGCCACAGCAGGATGGCCATATTCAGAAGCAGCAGCCAATAAATCTCAGAGGTTTATACTGCGTTTCTCAATACCCTCCCTCTTGGCCCTCTGCCAGGCTGGCTGTGGAAGTAAGGAGGGAGCCTGAGTAGGAGAGCTAGGAGGTGAAAACCTCCACTTCCTTTCACCACCTTCTCTTCTTTCTCTTGTGCTGCTTACTTCTCATCCTTCCGAACCCTTTAGCCTCTATCTTTACCCTGGGAGCCAGTGAGATTCAGCCCCCCAAAACCAAACCTCCTACCCTCCAGTCGATTCTCCGACACTTAGCGACCCCATAGGGTTTCCGAGGCTGTAAATCTCTACGGAAGCTGACTGCCACATCTTTCTCCCGCAGAGCTGCTGGTGGTTTGGAATTGCCGGCCTTTTGGTTAGCAGTCGAGCACCTTAGCCACTGTGCCACCAGTGTTCCTTGAGAATCAGCCCCAAGCCCAGTAAATACCTCTTTCCTCAGAGGTAAAAACTCTGGGTTCTGGGCACAACTGTGGTTCTATCTAACAGTTTCGAGTGTCTTGCTCTCCGAAACTCTTCATCTGAAAATGATGGGGCTCCTAAATGGTCTCAGTAGTCACTTCCCTCAATGATCTTGTCTCATCTAGGGAAATCTCTGCTATTTAGTCTAAGGGAGGTTTGACCCTTCCATCCCCCCTCATGACACCAAATTTTGGAACTTAGTTTGATAAAGCTCCTGCGACCTGGCCCTAGGTTTGCTCACAGCAAAATCATTTCACCTGTCTGGGACTCATCTTTGCAGAGTCTTGGGCTTAATGACAACCAAATCTTACTCTTGAAGATTCTTATGAGGGGAAAGTAAGACCACAGATGTGCAAATTCTAAGAGAAAAAAATTACTACAAATGCAAGTGCTCTTGTGCTGGTTTGTTCAAGTTTTGTTACAAGATTTCTTTCCTAGTAGTCGCTGTTGTGCTTTGGGTGTGTGTGCGTGTGTGCAGAAAGTGAGAGTTTTTTGAGAAATATTTGGACTTCCAGAGATGGCCAGTCTCCAGTAGCAGCCTCTACATTGTCTTAGGCAGAATTCTTCCTGTAAGCGAAGTTCTCGGCAGACAACAGGTGGACAGACTCGGGTGGACCACTCTCTTCCTCACTGCACCCCGGTCGCCCTCTGGACGCAGGCCCTCGTCCCCACCCCTGCCTGCTTTCTCCGTCCAGTAGAAGAGCGGCGCGGTGCGTCGGTCCGCTTCGGAATTGGAGGGCGACGCCCAGGACCCTGGTGGGAAAGAGTCGGCGCCGAGCGAGGAGGGGCGGGAGGCGCCGGCGGAGGGAGCCCAGCTCGCAGAGTTCAAGCGCGAGGGGCGAAAGGAGTGCAGCCCCGGGGACAGGCAGAGTGCCTCGCGGGGGCGGACACCCAGCTCCCGCGTCACCGCCATGGCGCACCCCTCGAGCCCGCGGCCGCTGCCGCCGGCGGTCCTGCTCCTGCTGCTGCCGCCGCTGCTGCAGGCAGGTGAGTGTCGTCTGTGGGTACGTGGAGACCGCACGGGAAGAGCAGTAGCGGGAGGTGGAGGTGAGCATATAGCCGGGGCTGCCCAGAGAGGGCTCAGCCTGGTGGGTTCGGGTCTGCTGGAGCAGCCACCAGGCGGTCCAGTAGGTCCGTTCACTCGAGCCTTACGAACTGGAGGAGAAAGCCTGGGTGCCAGGAAGGGCCTGGGTTCCATGCCTAACACAGTGTCTGAACTGTTGGGGATTAAGTGCCAGCAATGGCCTGGGCACCCAAGCATCTCCTCGCTCCCAGTTCCCCTCTTCTCTCTTTTGAGGTGCGACTCCACAGTCACAGAACAAGCTACACCCAGGCCACTACCAAAACAGCATCTGTAGGAGGGGGCAGAATCTGATTAGAAGCAGGACTGCTAATTACTCCACAGGGGCTTCAACTCTTCCACCCTCTTTAAAAACTGGGGAAGGGGAAACTAGGTCCAGATGAAGAAGAGGTTTATGTTAGAACTGACTTGTCACAAATTAGGGTTGTAAATTGCTGCTCTAGACTTGCTAACATCATTATTTGCTTGTACTGTTGAGACTATTGCTCACCACCTACCTATCACACCAGCACCATTTTTTTAATTGGAACAGAGAACTGGTTTTTGGGCGGGATGGCCTTTCCTCTGCAAGCTGCCAAGCACCTGCCTTGCCCTATAATAGATCCACGATAGATGTTTTGTGGAATATATAGTTCAAGGAATAGGACCAGACCCCTACCATTCCCTCAAGGAAAGTCGGCCTGGGATCTGTGATCCCAGGGAACATGTCCATGGCGTTTGGAGTGGAATGGGTGGATCTCTGGAATCTCATTGTGAGGCTTCTGCCCAGAACCTGAGGAGAGGGAATCCTGAGGCCTAGATTGCACACATTGGCGGGAGGCCTCCTCAGTCCACAAGGTGGTACTGCAGAGATGCAATCTTAGCTGCAAGACAGACTGGAAGGAGGGAGGGAAAGGACTGGTACTGTCCAGACTGACTCCATCAGTAAATCAGTGTGGTCTAAGTCACCACCCATCTCACTTGACTGACTGCCCAGAAAATTCCACTAACACTAGCTGTATGGCTTGTCATGTCAGAATCGGAGTAAATATTAAAACCCTTCCTCCTTAACCAATTCAGTGAAGCCGAATGGGTGACAGGTCTATTTTCCATGATAATTCTTGACAGCAGTGGTTTGTAGTTAAGAAGCCTCACTGAAAATCCCTAAAACATCCATCCAGGAGTTGCAGTGTAGGACCAATTGCTCTCCAAGAGCAAAAACAGAGGGTGTTAACGACTGAGTGGAAAATACCTCTGCTCAGGGCCCAACAAAGCGTAAAAAAACCAAAAACCCAAACTCATTGCCATCTAGTTGATTCTCACTCATGGCAACCCCATTTACTTCAGAGTAGAACTGTGCTCCATAGTTTTCAATAGCTGTAATCTTACAGAAGTAGATTGCTGGGCCTTTCTTCCACAGCACTGCTGGGTGGATTTGAAACGCCAGCCTTTTGGATAGTAGAGAAGAGCACAAACTGTGCCACCCAGGGACCTGCCAAGCATAAAAGAGACCTCTAATTCACAGGAAAGTGGCATCATGTATTGAAAATCGTCCTGGACTAAGTAGGAGGTGGGAGTCGTAGGTTCTAGCCTTGATTTGCTACATCCCCTTGTGTATGTTCCTTTTTTTTGTTCATCCACCTATAGAATGGGTGCCTGTGCTATGGGCTTTATTAGGGAGCAACAAATGAGAGTCTTGTGCCCTGAAGTATAGCTTGAATTCTGCCCCATTTGCAGCTACTCATTCTTTGATGAGCCAAGAAGCAGAAAACCAATTCAGGAAGCCAGGCTTCTGACTAATCACTATGAAATAAAGACATGCCAGTGGCAGTGTAAATTAGGAGGGGGGCAGGAGAGTGGCGGAGACTGTGACAAACTAGAAAACACTTGTCAAAAGGGCAGTCATTACTCAACTCCAGCTGTTGCATTGTGGGGATGTGGGCCCAGTGTTGCCATTTTTGAAGAGAAGTTGGAAATTCAGAATTTTATGTGAAATACAATTTTTAAATGTTGGCAAGTAATTATAATTTTTAATTACAAAAAAATGCAAAATGCAAAAGAAAGAAAGAATATACGATGTAGACTGAAGAAAACACAACTGTACTCGGGATTAATTTGTGACCTTTGCCCTAGATCGAGTCTATGTTTCACAATCCAGGAAACCCAAGTTCTACTCTGTTCTGATGAAGTTTAAGGTGACTCCCAAGTTCTTTTGTTGAGCTGGAATGCCCCTAAATCCACCACTGCTCAACCTTTGTGAATGATCAGGTAAAAAATTAAAGAAATTTTCTTTTGAAAGTTGTTATGACTCAATATTTAGTCCACTTAAGGCACTGAGACTTGGACCTGCTACTTTTCATTCAGCAAACACTTATTGGGTACCTACCCGAAGTACCAACATTTTAAACTTTTAGTATTTTTCAACCAGTTTCGATCCATATTTCCCTTTTGATAAAGATAAAAATCTCATGCCTTCTTTTAAATGTTTTTTGAAATTTCAAAAGCTTTTTTTATCTCCATATATAAAATTGCCAAAGATGCTTTTTTAATTATTGTAAATATGTATACCACAACATTTGCCAATTTAATGTTTTTCACGTGTACAATTAGTGACATCAATTACATTAGTCATGTTGTGCAACCATCATGAATATCCGTTGCCAAATTTTCCATCACCATAAACAGAAACTCCATGCTTCCTAAACAGTGACTCCCCCTTTCCCCTCCTCCCCACCGCCCCGGTAACCACTAATAAACTTTGGTCTCTATGTATTTGCCTATTCTAGATATTTCATATAAGTGAGATCATACAATATTTGTCCTTTTGTGATTGACTTACTTCACTGAGCATAACATTTTCAAGGCTTACTCATATTGTAGCATGTATCAGGACTTCATTTCTCTTTATATCTGAGTAATATGCCATTGTATGCATACACCATATTTTGTTTATCCATTCATCTACTGATGGACATTTAGGTTGTTTCTATCTTTTGGCAATAGTGAATAGTGCTGCAATAAACATTGATGTGTATGTGTCTGTTTACATTGCTGTTCAAATATGGTTTTTTTGAATTATACATTCCCTCTGGAAATTTTGATCTACCCCCAAAAGGGACCTATCCTCTCTCCTCTTCATTCTTTCCCTTGGAGAAATTCTGATTTAATCCAGTTCCCTCATTTTACAGTTGAGAAAACTAGGGTCTGGGAAATGAAGTAAATTACTCTAGGTAGGGCTGGGACTAGAGTGAGGCAAGTGAAGGGGTGTTAAGAAACTCGGTAGTCGAGATAAGTAGTGTTTTAAAAAATCAAAATTAATGCAAAAAAATCCATAATGAACAAAATATCAAAATTTTGAATAAAAAAGTAACAGTGCCATGGTGAGCCATATTGGGGCCTGAGGCAAAAGGAAAAATCAGTAATACTGATCCTGTATTTATGCATTGAATATGGCATCAGCTCTCAAACTTTAGGGAGCATTAAAATCTCCAGTGAATTTTCTAAAATGCAGATTCCCAAGTTTTATCACTAGAGATTCTGATGCAATCGGTCTGGTGTGGGGCTCAGAAATCTCCATTTTTAATGAATAATCTAGATAATTTGAGGCTGTACTGGAAGAGGAGGTTTGAGTAACTGAATTCTGAGGCCCCTCCCAATTTTGGGACCAGGCTTTACAAGGCTTGTAAACCAGGAATATAAATTAGATTTTAATCTAAGTGCCGCGGAAACTGTTGGAGGGACTTAAGCAGAGAAATGAGATGATCTGATTTATAATTTTAAAAGATAGCTGCACATAATGCCAATCAACAGTAGAATTATGTTATATTCATGTAATAAAATGCTGTACAGCAGTGAAGGAGCCCTGGTAGCACAATGGTTAAATGCTTGGCTGCTAATCTAAAGGATGACAGTTTGAACTCACCTTGCTGCTCTGCGGGAGAAAGGCCTTGCAATCTGCTTCCATAAAGATTACAGCCAAGAGACCAAAAGGTCAACAATTACTCTAAAGCAAAGATGAGAAGATAAGGAGGTCGGGAAACTAGAGTACAGGAAATCAAACAACCAAAACACAAAGAGAATGTTGACACGTTGTGAAAAATATAACTAATGTCAATGAACAATTTGTGTAGAAATTGTCAAATGGAAGCCTAACTTGCTGTGTAAACTTTCACTGAAAACACAATAAAATGTTATTAAAAAAAAATTAAAGCCAAGAAAATCCTGTGGGACAGTTCTACTCTGTCACGTAATTGACTCAATGGCACCCAACAACAATAACATACAGCAATGAAAATAAGCTATTGAATTTCAGAAACATAATATTGACAAGCAAAAGGAGACAAGAAACAGAAAGTACATATTGCATGATTTAAAAACAGGCCAAAAAACAAAACAAACAAACAAAAAAAAACAGGCAAAACTAGTCTCTGGTGTTAGAAATTATGAAATGTCATAGTGAGTGGAAGAGGGCTTCTGGTTGCTGGCAATGTTCTGTTCCTTTATCTGGGTGCTGGGTACACAGGTGTATTCATTTTGTGAAATTCATTAAGCTGTACATTTTTGATTTGTGCATTTTTCTGTATGTTATACTTCAGTAAAAAGTTTATTACCAAAGAAGATATACAAATCTCTAACAAGCACATGAAAATATGCTCAGCATCATTAGTTATTAGGGAAATGCAAATGAAATTGCCAATGAGACCACACCCATGAGGACAGCTATAATTAAACAAACGAAAAAACAGAGAGTAAGTGTTGGTGAGGATAAGGAGAAATTGGAACCCTTATACATTACTGGTGGTAATGTAAAGTGGTGCAGCCACTATGGAAAACAGTTTGGCAGTTTCTAATACAGTTAAACATAGAATTACCATATGACCCAGTAATTCCACTCCTAGGCATATACCCAAAATAATTGAAAATAGGTATTCAAGCAATACTTGTACACCAATGTTTATAGCAGCACTATTCACAATTGCCAAAAGGTGGAAACAACCCAAATGTTCCTCAGTTGATGTACAGATAAATAAAACGGGGTATTTTCATGCAGTGGAATATTATTCAACCATAAAAAAGGAATGAATTATAGATACATGCTACAACATGGATGAACCTAGAAAGAAGCCAGACACAAAACACCACATATTGTATTATTAGAATAGGCAAACCCATAGAGACAGAAAGAAGATGAGTGGTTCCCAGGGCTGGGGGGAAGGGGAAATGGGGAGCAGCTGCTTAATGGGTACCGAGTCTCCTTTCGGATTGATGAAAATGTTTTGGAACTAGATCAAGGTGGTGGTTGCACCACATCGTTAATATACTAAGTGACAATGAATTGTACGTTTTAAAATGGTTAATTTTATGTTGTGTGAATTTTGCCTTATTAAAAAAAGAGTCTTCCAACTTAAAAAAAAAGAGTATTAAAAAAGATGACTGGATAGTATAGAAGAATGGGTTTGAAGGATGGAATAAGGGAGACCAGTAAGGAGGCTTGGCAGTAGTTCAGATAAGAGTTGATGGTGGCTGGAGCTAAGGAGGTGGTGAGGGATGTGGAGAGAAGTGGACAGATTCCAGATATGTTATGGAGTTGACAGAACTTGTTGGTGGATTGAATACAGGATGTGAAGGATAGAGAAGCGTTAAGAATGACTTCTAGATTTTTTTTCCTTGAACAACTGGGGGATGATGGCTATTACACCATAATGGAGGGATAAGGATCCCCTTGACAGAGCTTCCTGAGTCTTAGGAGCAGGGGCTTTTTCCAGTGCTGAGTTATAACCAACCTTGGTATTCCTGAGCAAGTGAGAGGTTCAGGTTACCCTTTTTTCCCTTCTGGCAAGAGCTCAACTCCAACCCCAACCAGTTCCTACATTCAGTTTTTTTTTTTTTTTTTTAATAATTTTTAAGTAATGGAAGACTCAAGAGTTATTTCTGACTCTTATGTAACACTCCTTTGCACATTCTCAACACTTTTCTCATGATGCTAGCTAGCCCTTCCCCTGGCATGGCTCTGCCCAGGACCCTGTTTCCCTGGCCAGGAAGGGTCATCAGGCTCAGCTTCAAACAACTGCCCTCCTCCTCCTTTTGGGAGGCTGAGCCTCCTTTCCTCAAATCCCCCATCTGTTCTTGGGCCTGGTCTGTACTGTTGAATGTGACAGCTGCAGACTGCCCAATCCTGCTGGGCTTCTTTCTCCTCATTCTTATTCCTAAATAGCCTTTTGTGCCATCCCAAGACTTTCTTGCCCAAGGTTTCTTTGGGAAACCTTCCACCCTGTGTCACGACTTGTTACTCCCAGACAGCTACTCTGACCTTATGTGAACCTCACCTGGTTTCTCATCCTCTGCAGGGGACCCCCTCCCTACAGAGGGCCGGTTTATGAATAGCTGTATCCAAGCCAGGAAGAAATGCCAGGCCAACCCCACGTGCAGTGCCGCCTACCACCACCATCTGTATTCCTGCATCTATAGTATAAGTACCCCATCACCTTCAGAGGAGCCATCAGTCCCAGCAGAGTGCCTGGAGGCAGCACAGCAGCTCAGGAACAGCTCTCTGATGGGCTGCTCATGCCACCGGCGCATGAAGAACCAAGCTACCTGCCTGGACATCTATTGGACTGTTCACCGTGCCCGCAGCCTTGGTGAGGCCCCCATCCTAGAGTGCACTAAGCTGGGGAAATGGGAAGATGGTTCTTGGGGGCTGTTTATTCATCTTACAGAATATGGGCCATGTGGTAGATTTCAACAGGGATGATGATGAAACTCTGCATTTGACACCAGTAAGAGGTGGGGAGAGGAATTGGCAGTATCCTTTTAGGTCCCCACGGCACTGCTCTCTTCTCTCAGCTTCCCCTGTTCTTACCTGGCAACATGTAGCTTCCTCTTGGCAGAGCACTGAACCAGGCTGAGGCCCAGCCTGGGGAGCTGCTGGAACAGAAGTGTATGGAGAGGAGATGGGGAAAAGGATCTTAATACATAAACAGGCTCCAGATACTATGTAATCCACAGTTCAGAGAGACTGGAAGGTGCATTCTGGTCCAGCCCTCAACAAAAAGGATACATATTAAGTAGACGAGAGAGAAGGCACAGGAAAAGCAGAAGAGAGGAGCCTCCTCTGACCCTTTCCTTAGACCCTTCTTTGTATTAGCTTTTACTAGACTATCCTGCAGTAATGAAACAGTGACTTGCAAAACAAGTTTATTTCTTGCTCATGTTCTGTGTTGGCTGTTTCACATATGTTCTTGATTGTGGGATTCAGGCTAAAGGTGCAGCCTCGTGTGGGATGTGCCCTTATCATGACAGAGGGAAACAGCAATGACAGAACCATGCAGTGGCTTTTAAAGCTTCTGCTCAGATGTTACATACACTACTTCTGCTCATGTTCTATTGACAAAGCAGGCCACATGGCCAAACCTGACATCACTGGGGCAGTGAAGTATACTCCTCCTATAGGAAGACATTGCAAATCACATGACAGTAAATGAGTATATATACAGGGAAGGCAAGGAATAATTGGTAACAATAATACAATCTACTTTAGTCCACCACTTGGTCAAAATATTCACTTCCCTCCCTTCCACAAGCAAAATATACCCACCTCCCTTCCCAAGAAAGATGCCCTAAAAGTTCTACACAAGCATGACATTAGGCTTAAAGTCTAGGATCTCATGACCGTCTCTATGTCGGGTCTGGATGCGGCTCCTCTTGATCTAGAAACCTATGAACTAAAAAGACAAGTCATCTGCCTTCCATACATTTTGAGTATGCAATAATGGAACAGGGACAGGATAACCACAAATAACACTTCCAGTTAGAAGGGGGAAGAATGAGAGGCACACAGCAGACACTGACTGGTTCACAGCAATTCTGAAATTCTGCTAGACAAATGTTGCAAGGGCCCTGTTCCCTGGGAGTACAGATTGTTCCTTAACACCGTAATAAAGTCCTCTTTCTGCTCCATGGGAATAGCTGCTTTATCCACTGTTCTCTAGGACTTTTGGCCCAAGCCCTCTGGGGAGTCCTTCCTTTTCCATTGTTCTCTTTGGCCACATCTGAAGAGGGCATTGGAGACTACAGCCTTCTTGGGGACTCAGCAATGTTCTCAGCCTGCTTTCTGCCTGAGGAATGTTGGGACATTTAAAGGCTCAAATAGTTACAGACTCTTTTAATCCAGGCTAGTGGCTTATTTAACAGTACAACTCTTGCAAAACATAGTTGTTTTTTATCTCTTTGATTTCTGTCACCTCGTGTGCCGGCAGCCTTTCTCACCATTGTTTTCAAGATATGCATCTCTTTCTAGACCTAATTAGAAGTACTTTGCCCTTACCAGGCTTCTGTGGGAGAGCCAGTACCATTTTTTTTTTTCCCCCTGAGAGCTTTGGCCAAACTGACAGGATTTATTGGGTACCATCTTAATCAACGGAGAAATCTCTAAAAAGGTGTGATAGCCACACACTTCATTTGATCTTTGCCCTAAGGCTGAGTTATAATTGACCCTATCACTCAAAGCATTTCTCAGTTTTATCTTTTACCATTTGAATATGAGAAATAGTTGCATCTCTCAATCCTGCAAGCCATAGAGTTTCGGGGTTCTTTCTTTTCCCTTTCATCTGTACCTTGCAAACTGACCAGTTCTTTCCTGAGCTTATATGTATTTTTGTAGTACCTTGCCAAACGCAGCCAATAGCAATCAAGACATATTAGTAACTTTCTGATTCTCAGCTTTTTCCCCTTAAAGCACAAGCTCATTCAGTACATCATCTTTCTTCCAAGTTATTGCAAGCAAAAATTTTACCAAATGCTTTGCCACTGCATAACATGGGCTACTATCTTTCCAGCCCCCAGAAGTAGTTTCTTCACCACCCACTGCCCAGTCCCAAAGCCAATGCCACATGTTTTAGATTTTTTTATTACTGCAGCACTCCATTCTAGGTATCAATTTCTTTGTCAATAAGAATTTGCTAGGTTATGCTGCAGTAACAAACAACTCCCAAATCACTGGCCATCAACCACAAAAATTTATTTCTTGCTCATGTTACACATCTGCTGCGAGCTTCCACAAGTGGCTTCATCTCTTCTCCACCTGTCTTCTTCATTCTAGAATCCAGGCTGGTAGAGGGGAAAGAGCAATAGTAGGACCATGTGATGGCTCTTAAATCTTCTGCTCAGGTGTGACTTATGTCACTTCAGCTCACAATCCATGGGCCAAGGCAAGTCACAGGGCTAAGCCTGACATCAGTGGGAGGGTGCGGCGGGGGTGGGGGCGTGTACTCATCTCACAGGTACCATGAAAGTTGCATGGCAATAGGTGGGGATGTATAATCCTCCCACAAGGTGGGTAGCAAATAATTGAAAACAATAATACAATTTAGTACCTTCCTTGTTCCCTTCTTTCTGCTCCCATCCTAATGGCTTCTCTTTCATAACTTCCCCTGAGACTTCTCCCCAGATCTTCTCACCGCCCCCCTTTTTCCCTTGGGAGTTTGTAGTTCTTCCCAAGGATCCAGCCCATCCTCTCCTGTTTGCCTGACATCGTCCATATTCCTTTTGTCTTGAAGATGCATTTACAGAGACTTACTGAGTGACATCTCTGCAAGATTTATTCACCAATATTTATTCAGCACCTACCATATATATGAGCTATGCAGAGATTTTATAAGACCTAGTAAGTCCCCTTAAGGAGCTCACATCCCCATGGTGGTGTGTGAGAGAGATATGTTTGCTTTGAGATATTGTCTCTTCCTTCTCTGCCCTTCCCAGTCAGGTTCAATTTGGGACCTGGTCTCACTTTCATCTCCTTAGCATATGATGCATCTCCATAGCCAAGTGGTCAGGCCTGGAATAGAGAGTCCACCACTGTCCCTTCCCTAATAGCAAGAGAAAACAAGAGACAGGGTCTCCTTTATTATGTACCTGCAGGCAATATGTCTAATGGTTAGAAGCAGTAACTCTGGAATCAGATAGTCCCAGCTCCACTTCTTTTTAGCTTATGTGAGTCTGAGCAAGTAACTTAACCTCTCTCATCCTCAGTTTTTTCTTACTTATCCAAAGGCTTTTAGGAGAATTAAATGAGATTTTATACACACACACACACACACACACACACACACACACACACACAGTCTTAGTTATCTAGTGCTGCTGTAACAGAAATACCGCAAGTGGATGGCCTTAACAAAGAGAAATTTATTCTCTCACAGTCTAAGAGGCTAGGTAGCCCTGGTGGTGCA